TCCGACGCTCTTTCGAATCTCCTTGAATTCATTTTTTGACTTCACTTAGCTTGCATCCTATTCAACTTTTTGAATTAGGTGCTGAACCATTTTTTGTGTTTTATAAACCTTTTATTGGCTACCTTTATAAGTGTTCACGTAAATCAAGTCTAGAGAGTTGATCCCTCGTTGATCAAATGATGATTGTAACCAGTCAGCATTACCACTGAATACTGACGATTCGAAACGAATAAAAAATTCACGAACTTCAACAAAATCCGAATATGGCGCTCCTTTCTCGCCAAGTTTGTCAACGATAATCGTGGTGTCATCATCGGAGATTCTGAATATGATGAAAGCATGAAGATGTCTGTTGTGAAGATCATCGTATGCTTTCTTGCAAGATGCGTCTACCTTTACCCCAGATGCCTTAAAATTCTCACTTGAATCAACCATTCGTGATGTTCCACCAGCCAATCAACGACCTTCCAAGATACGTCTCATTCACTGAATTGTTCCGTCGAATTCTTTCTGACTTCAAAATACTGATCTCATGACTTTATAATACTAATTATGCTTAAAACCATCGTGCCGTATTGAATTAACCACGGAATACATTGTAGGCTATAGTGTAACGGTTTTGCATGATATATCATTCCTCAAGCGAATTGCTTTGACCTTACAATTAAATTGACTCATTAATGAATGCTGGTGCTCAAAAGCTCATACTCGTGCTACGTTTGCTAGCATCTAACAAACTGAGTTTTGTCTCCCTGCTCTCATAACGTTGCACCGTATTCACTTAAAATTAGGATCAGTTTGACGACCTTCATAAACTTAAACAAGTCCAGAATTCGATCATTCTTAATTAACGAGATGCGTGCGATAATTCCCTACGATCCGTGCGATCTACCATTAGGTTGATCTACGATCTACCGTNCACAGTTACACTGTTCTTTGGCCAGTAACAGTTAGTAAGATTTTCATCTTTACGCTGTATACTCAGCCAATTCAATTCTGGAGAATTCGCGTTTTCGGATGGTAATATAAATGGTAATATAATGTGACTTCATTGTCGATGCAATCATTATGTTTACTGAAATACGCAAAAAATTTCAATGATGCAACTGGCTCTACGAGTTGACTTCCAACGGGAAAATTCAACTTCCAGGTCAACACACAAGCGATTGACCATTAGAGGAAGATATTCGGAACGAATTCTATCAGATGGCGACTCAGGCATAGATTCGTCATTATCAATTGGGCAAGAGACAACAGAATCAAGAAACGTTTCCAACTGATCATTTTCATCGTTTGATTATTTCCAATTGATCATTTTCATCTAGTACCAGGCTACAAATAATTTTATCTTCTGGTGGCCAGCGATCAAACGTCCTCTTGGATCCAATGAAACTGGTTGGCACTAGTTAAGGCAAATTTTGAACATGAACCAGTGGCCAGCAACCGAACTCGACAGTAGACGAGCATTCAGGTTTGCGCAGCAAAAAGTGCATAACCCTTCGGAACAACTGGCATTCGGTGTTGTCATAACATAAGCTACATATTATATATATCATATACTATCTTATGGGTCGCATCATTAACAAAACAATACAAAAATATGCTCTTGAGATCAAGCTTATTTTTCATTCCTTTTATACCAATAGACTCATGCATGTCGACGCGATTTTGGAGCCTAACAGTGAGATTGTAAAAATGATCTCTTAAGCGAAGTGTTCTACGCGGAAAATCCAATTTACGATCCAGAAAGCCTCCTCACCACTCTGAATTTATCATGATCTATTCCTTTCATATTGCGTCAACCTAGTGGAACAACCAATTTGGACATCTGACAGACATAAATCATCCCTGATAATGCTGAATGAGATGAATGCACTTTTCAGATTTTATGTCCAACGAAGAAAGTTCTAAAGATATTCATCACCCAGCTGTATCCCTAAGATATTCCTCAGATCAGTCCCTTCCAAAAAAAGAATTCATAATTGACCTTTCTCAATTGATGAGAAGCGAAGAAAACCAACTCAACTAGAATACACTGATACTAAGAAATAAGAATAACCCTATTAATCGCCATGATTCATAAGATTGTCTGACTATAGGACTAGCTCTCTATAATTCCACTTCAAACAACAGAGAGCTTCATGTTGAAAAAACGCGATCCGAAACATCGAAAAGAGCCGTTATCCACCCAACAACTATCACATTATCCTTTCATTACCATCATTATCATGCATCCTAATGAAACTTCACAAAGCAGTTTAAATTTTTTTTTAAAAAAGCAAAATAAATCAACGAACAAATTAGTGGCAAAATACAGAAAACACACCGCATTCATCTCGAGTCAGGTATTAATTCAAATCAAACAATAGCACATCCCATTATATCATATTATCCTCACCACAAAAATTCATCGCTGTCGCCGCAATGACGATGAAGGTTGCATTAAATAAAGCACTCAATGAAAACAAATATTATGAATCTTCGATAGAAAATGAATTCACTCGTCCAAAATTGCTTCATATTGATTTATTTTAATTTGCAGTCGTTATGACTAGTTTTTGAAAGAATTGCGATCCATTATAATGCTCAATTATTATCAACAAATACACAACACTTTTTCAGCACCGGTCAATTCGACATACATCATCGGCAATCCAAAATTAACTTCAAATAACACGAACGAGAAACACTCTTTTACATGCACAACAAATCTGACAATGAGTGGAAATTCAAGCAGATACGCTGACTTATTATAAGCTGACGAATCATGTGAACCTAAACGCATCCGACAACAAAACCGAATTTCCTTTGCATGCAATCAATGGACTATTCTATCGAACAATCTTCGGAATGCATCGAGTAAAAAATTCACTGATAGCCACTACAGAATGAATGCTGGTAAAACCGATCCGCATTCACCTCGCAGTAAAAATACACTAACTGAATTGGTGAGGAACATAACAAAACCCTCTTCAGAAAGCACAAAACGATTCGTGAGGGAACAATGAAAACTTCCTAAAAAAACAGATATTGGAGAAAAATAGCAAAAAAGGGGAATGTAGGGAGAAGGCAGGCATTAACACGGGTTGTTGCAAGAAACAAAACGCAAACACAGTTGAAATGGAAAACCACTGGATTAAAATTTTTGCATTAATTCATTCGTTTAGCAAGAAATCAAAAATGAAAAATATTGGCACATATAGCCATCAAATAAAACAAACATTCAACATTTTAAGAAGAGCGTTATTGACTCAATGAAATAAAACAACTGAGGAACTGAAAAGAAAACGACAAACGAAACTGAATAAACGAGTAAACTTTTCAACAAGATCATCGAATCAAATTACACTGAATTGCAATTGGGAATAAATCAAACGAAAACGGAAAATCTGATCCGTTCATCCCAATGATAACGTTTCAATAGACTACTTCATAATTCAACTTAATTCTAACAATACTGTTTGAAGATTTCAATTTTTTGAGTATGTACTGCTTGGGTTTTGAATCAAAGAAAAACTAAAAATTGTGGAAGCAGTAGGAGTTATTTCCAATCCAATAACAATTCAATGATAATGTGATCGAATCTCTCATACGTTTGCTCGTTTCATCATCAAAATAAAATTTGTGAAACGATTGTGCATCGTTCAGGCCTTATGGAAACAGGCTAAACATTTGTTAGTTAACTGAAACAATTAGAAGTGGAAGGGATATAAGAAGAAGAACACGGAAATCATCTAATCCATTCAGATGCATATCATATCATCACCAATTGGCAACTTATTGTTATACATCCGCTGCTGATGAATTACCCAAATTTCATTCATACTCTCATTTCTTTAGTGATCGCCATATTTATCCGTCAACTTCATCAGCAACTCTTTATGGGACATCTCCGATTCATCGGACACCTGAAATGGAAAATCGACGGATAACATTACTTTTTGCTGGAGAACAATGTGGTCGAGAGAGAGATTTCAACATTTCATTTTCTACGATCACTCAAAGAAGTTCGAATAACACTTTAGAATCGCTCTCAAAACGAATACTCCGATACTGAGCTTTTCTCACCTGAAACTGCAAGATTTTTTCGGTTCCAAGAGAAGCCTTGATGGCTGATGCAGACGAAGCGTATACCATCTTCTTTTTGATCGATGCACCGTCCGGACAACTAAAATAGACAAAGATTCGAACGATACCACACGATCATCGGAAATAGCTTTAATAGGCCAGCCAGGTGACTGTTGTGAAAATGTTAACAAAAGAGCGTTAAAATGACATCAATCGTCAAAAACGATAGTAATACGAAAAGTCAAAAACAAACATTTGTAAGAAAATAATTTTGTCCATTTTCGTATTGCCCGCGCCGACACGCGAACAAATGAATTTGAAATCGAAGACGGCATATCTGCAATCCTTGAATCCGTCGGTGCGTTTCTTTAGATCATCGACGAAAAGTGAGAATGCCTGCTTGGAGTTATCCTCATGATCGTCCACACTCAACCCTAGTTCATCCTGAGTCACCGCTGTCTCGACAACCACTTCTCGATCCTTAGAACAACAAAAAAACTTAACCTTCATAAGACAAATAGTCCAAGAATGAACTCTTTTCACTTGTTTCTCATTTCTTAATTTGAATTTAAAGCTCACTCATTCCTCATTTCCAGAAACAAACACTCTGGAGAAGCAAAATTTCCATCTGAAAACAAGANATTTAACGCATGCATTCAGAACCATTCCAGATTAGTGTTTTAATAATAATATCAATACCAATCGTAATTATAATGCACACTGCCTTGAACGGCCAACATAAACAAACAATTTTAACATCATAACGCTGAGTTTAATATTCAGGTTTAAGATTAATCACACTCTCATTTCCAAGAAACTCTGTTCGTTTATTGTTACTACAATAACAGCACTCTAGGTTAGATTGATTAACACTGCACAACTGTTTGAACAAAGGCGACGTCTTAATGCGCACATGTTTAGATTCAATAAATCTCACGTTTATTCCTTACACTTTCGGCTTGACTCAATGCAATTGATCTGATTCATTCGCAACGAAAGCATTTTCTCCGGAACACTCTGCTGCCACCGTGTAATATCACCTCATTACCATCAACTCAATAGATTGATCCCAACTCTATTTCAAAACAGCCGCAATACCATCGTATTGGATTACATTTACAGTTTTCCTTGTTTTATGCATTCTCTCTTCCACACTAATGCACATTTGATAATGTTTGAAAATTGAATGAAATTTTCAAGTATCGGCAAAAATTAACGATTCTTCATGCCAAACTGACTCTTGTTGAATTTCCTGAGTCAACTAGCCTAATCACNGCTTTCTTGAGAATGTTTCTCATACCTTAAATTGCTGACGATAGTCAACGTCTACAACGTCTATTCGAAATAACAGAGCAACCTGTTTGCATGTTTTGTTCGGAAGCACACAGATTTGTGTAATTAAGTGAAAATTAACTTGCAAACAATTTAAAAGTCGTTCTCCTGCAACCGTTTCTCGTAAAGGACAAATTGTTTGAAAATTCAGTGAAGAAAAAAATTACGATTGCGTATGATGACGATGGTATGCACTGTCATGTACACAAAAGGTGTAAAATTAACTTCAACGCGATCACATCAATCATTTTCTCCGCACAAATTTTCCGTAAAGTCAGGATTTCACAAAGAACGATTATTCAGAATGCAAACACATAATCGCTGACACAAAAGAGAGACTTTCAATAAAACTGGCCGATTAAACGGAAGACATAATCTAAACCATTTGACAACATTTTCAACTAGGCAGTAGAAATACAACCGCAATTATATTGCTTTTCAATGAATAGAGGAAATAATTCCATCCATCAAATACCATTAAACTCCACAGGAATCACAAGTGTGATGAATTGAAAATAGCTAATAAGCATCGCATCTCATAGATTTGATCTTTTTTTGCACAGAATGAAAATCATAAGTACGGATTACGTTTCAATGGATCCTACACGAGCAATCGCTTGATTGCGATGAATTCTTCGAAAACTACGAGATATTCGAGAAATCTGTCCAATATTTTCGAAAGATGCGAATAGTAAAAACAACTTTTTGGTTACAGAATCTAAGCAAAACAAGAGTACAAAAACTAACCATGATGAAGAGTTAATGGAAAGTTGATGTATAATCGACGAAAAAACAAAAAGCGATTGAAATCTGTGTCAAGCTCTTGCTCACACCACCGCAACCACTTTCCTTCGTCAACTGATAACCCAAATATAACCGACCTGAAGATGAATTATCCGGGTAAGGTTGTCATAACAAATCTGCATGCGCATTCATTCGTAAGATNTTGCGATGACAAGTGGAAACAAATGAAAATACCGATTGAATTTGATTTCCTATCAATTAAAAAAATTTACACGTAAGCAATATTGAGCAAGTAGAATTCAAATTTATCATTGATTTTAAAACGTCAATCGCAATACAATCGATATTCCGTGTGATGCTATTCTCCGCTACTCACCTATCTCATCATCCAAAGCATCAGAAATGACACAGTTACAAAAAACAACAACAGATGAAATGTACTCTAACAGAGCGGATCTGAAACTCGAAGAACACAAGCTAGTTTCCAGATTAATTTCAACATATACATCGATCGTATTGTATCAACCAAACAAACATAATATCGAACAAAAGAATGAAAAATTTATCACAAAATAACATGAAAAGAACACGAAGACAGCTGAATAAAAGTTAAGAGGATCGTTTATTGATTCCAAAAGATTCCACGACGATGCCAAAATAAATATAAATAGATGATGTGCAGATAGTTGAATAGATATACAGACTGAATGATATTAATACTTTAAATAAGATTAAGAATGCTGTGCATGCATAAGCAGCAATGAATAATCTTTTGTTCAGTGATGAAAATGAGCGTAAAGTTCGACTGTTCGCTTGTTGAATGTGCGAGAATGAATAGTAGCAGTAGCAGCAGCAGCAGCGTAAAACGTTCCGTTGAGCCATCGAACGAACCA